CCCTAAACCCTAAACCCTCAACCCTCAACCCTCAACCCTCAAACCCTAAACCCCGAACCCGGACCCCGAACCCCGAACCCTAATACCCTAAACCCCTAAAACCCTAAACCCTAAGCCCTAAACCCCCAACCCTAAACCCCAAACCGCAAACCATACTCCCTCGACCCTACACCCCATACCCTAGACCCCAGACCCAAAACGCAAAACCCTAAACCTCTCAACCATAAACCCCTAGACCCTAAACCCTAGAGACTCAACCCTAGAGCCTGGGCCCTAGACTTGGAGTCCTAAACCTAGGCCTTGAGCCCTGAACCCCATACACTAAGCATTGAGCTCTAAACCCTTATCCCCTAAACTATCATAATGCCCTGAGATCTAAGTAGCATTCGTATGCAATTATTCAAATCTCCTGAATGGCCAAAGGATTTAAAGGATTAGAATCGAGAAATGCATATTAAATGCACCTATTGTCATTCAATCGTCCAAAACAGAATTTTTGAAAAACTAACTGGGTGCATTCAATTTTTTTTCCTTTTCATCTAAAACCTTGGCATAGATATGGATCTAAGCTATGATCCGTAAGCCCTAAGCCTAAGCCTAAGCCTAAGTCCTAAACTCCAATCCCATGCCTAGTTCCCAAGTACCCAAACCTTAAACCCTAAACTCCACACCATAATCTTCTTACTGTAAGCCCCTAAATCTCAAAGCCTACACCCTAAATATATTTTTGACGAATGTCGTGCACCTCTGTACCCGTTTATTTCTAGTTTCTCGCAGTATTGATAAAAGTCTAAACTTCCTTATACATATATTAGCTTTTATGATTGCAAGACTAAATAAATTTATTATTTTTAAAAAAAGTTGGGTGAAGGGCAGGGTATTTGACTTTTAGACGCTCTTAGCCCTTTGCCAGATAACGATACAGTGATATTCAACGTGATTAATAATCAAACTTTGGAATACTTACATGTGATTCTCAAACCAACTTGGTAATTCAGATTTGTTATGCATGGTTTTTCACAAGCGAAGCCCATGTTGTTTGGTTTTTTTTTTTTTTTGGGATTTAACTATTATCTCCGTGATCTAAGATGCTGTGTTTGAAATTTATAATTTAAGTATTTGGTAACTCCTACATCCAAATGGAGACAGTGAGATTAGGCTTGATTTGGAATCTCACGAACTCAATTGCACTCAAATCATTTTCCAAATTCTTTTAATAAGAACTAAGAATAAAAGAGAACCGTAAAAGTAGAGAAACCATTAGTATTCCATGACTGCATAGGTGACGGTCATTTTGTCTATAATTTTCAGATCAACCAACAATAAAAGAAGAAAATATATTACATGAATATACTTTTCTTCAGTGGACAAACTGAATATATTGTGTTTTAACTTCTAAGGAATGAGATTTTAGAACTTCTTAGCCCCAGTTGTGCCGCACTCAAGGTGTCTTCATACATGTTATTGATGATACGGCAGTAAAGCGCAACAACCAGCTCAACTTCTGCACTGCATCAGACAAGAGAACAACGTTTGATCAGTATAAGATGAATAATACACCATCGCGTTACACCTCCGCATGTTACATGTACATGACGATCAATTAAACTGAATTATATGCTTACCAACTAAAATGGCATCATCACACCAGCAATATTCACTTCCTAGAGCGGATCTGAGTTGATTCTATAATAGTTAGAACTCTAAACCGTCCAATACAAATATTTAGTTGATCTTCAATTTTTGTCATTTTCCCCTTCATTGTCAAATTTCCCGCTTTCTTTTTCATGCAACGTATTTTCGTTCACCACAAAGGTCCAGCTATCTCCCTCCTCTATTTCCCATTGTTTTTTAAGTTCATAAATAGCTTTGGATGCCGCAGCAGCAATGGCTAGATTGGTATCTTCTGCAAGTCTCTGCAACAAGAACCAAAGGCAACAATTTGGCAAAAGGGACAAAGATGAGACGGAGACACATCGAAAGTACTACTTTCAGAAATCCAATATCATTTATTCTCACCTGTAATGCTCCCATCCCTGCATTTCCGAGAGTCCACATGGATGGTGCTGCTGCCAGTGCATTGGCTAATGCTTGTCTAAAATCACACACCCATCAACGAAGCAGAATATATATACAAACAGAAGCAAGCCAAAGAGAGGAAAAGCATATTCTGGAATGCATTAATGTAAGCTGTAGTAAGCTTGTTCTTTGCTGTTTGTTTTACATATAACTTGATGTAGAATATTTCCCATGTAACCAACAGAAGCTTTCATCATTTACAAGTTCAATGTTGGATAACTCAGTAGCAGGGGAATTCTACAAAGAAATATTTGAGGATTTAGTAAATTTGTGACAAAATAATGAAAAATACACCATTAATGGAACACAAATTCAAATTTGTCAAGCCAGCTGTGCTGATGCTCATCAAGGCGCATAGTAGAAACCCAGCGATAAAAACTTGTCCTGTTTGTTAAATTATTGCCGGATGCCTTAGAAGCAAAGAAATTAAGTTTAAAAAAAATTATAGGTTTTTTGCTTAACTATGTACCTTTGATCAAACATGCGAGTATATTCTTTGAGAAATTATACCATCATAATAAGCTCACCTAGTACTGACATCAGGAGAACTGGAACACTCTGCCAACAGAGATACACTTTGTTTACCATCCATTGCATCAAGGTCGATAAGAGTTGTAATCAACAACTCAAGCTGCTTCCGAAGCGGAAAAAGTAGCTAAATTAAATACTTAAATAATGACCAAAATACAGGAACATAAATATTAAAGGTTAAAACCTCTTCGGGATCAGTGTAATCAATTCCATCAGCTTCAGAGAGTGCTGAGGCCATACTCCAGTAAGCTTCCTGGACATTTAAACTTTAGGATACAATTGCTTCATGTCCCGATTCAACTAGTTAAAGGGTGAACAAAACAAAAAAGAGACCTGAAGAGCCATAATTCGGTCAGTAGACACATCCCCGGGAAAGAAATCAATGGTTTTTCCATTCTTCTCCAGCCTTATACGTCCTCTTAAACCATTTTCTGACAAAGAGCCTTTATCTCTGCCTGAAGGACTGCATCTCAACATGATCAGAAACCATTCAAAGCTTCCTATAATTATAAGGAAGCGTACAAGTTATACTTACAACTTATACATCTTTCTCACCATCATGTCATGGATGTTTTTGACAAACTGCATATTCACAGGATAGAAAGTAAATTTCTTCCCCTGGAGATAATAGCAAAAAAATATGCACCTTGAAGTTTGAAATAGGATAAATGAAAAAGACCTAGTTAAGCAGAAAAATGCCAGAAATTACAAAGCGATTTAAAAAACAAATCATTCACAGTCACCACTTGCATAACATATAGTATCACCTCCAAGGCCATAAGGGCATCTTCCATTGCACGTTGCTTAGCACGGAAGTCAGCAAGGCGCAGATCAGCCTGAAAGTTTAGGGGGTTGCGTCAAAAAGAATTATGAATTCTCTTATAATTTGTATGCATTTTGAATCATCAAATCCCTTTTTTCTTTAATGAACAAATTACCAGAGGAAAAAAGTGAGTTTTATAATCCAAAAGAATCATGAATTCTCTTATAATTTGTATGCATTTTGACATCATGACCAAACCTCTAGCAAGAGTTCAATATGAAGGGCTTCAAAGCAAGCTAGGAATGCTCAATATCTATTCTCCAGCTTAAGGGGAGTGTTAGAAATCGTAGCCTAAGATTAGTCCTGACTGTTGATGGTATTTTCCTTATTCAATGCTCCTAATACCTAGGCACAGACCGTGAGATACTAATTTCATTCTGCATTAATGTTCCTTTATTATATTCAATTCTTCCCTGCTCGTAATCAAAGCCCAATGCTCCATATAAACACTGGTTTATCAATCAAAACAAATCATCGAGCACTATATAGCATATTTCTACTGTCTCTACCTTCCGTTCTGCACTATTCGATAATATCCCTTGAAACAAATATCTTAATTTGCAAATGCATAATAATTATGTCTTTACCTCCAAGGCTCCATCACTCCAATGCTTATCAGCAGCACTTTTCAATGTCGACTGGGCTTGATCCTTCAAGAACTTTAGAGTATATATAAAAAGAAAAATCAGCATGAAATATATCACTTATGTGCAGCTTTTTCTCTGTCGGAAAAATAATTTAAAGATTCTAAGTGATACAGACAGAAGCTATGCGATTAAGGCGCTCAACTCTTTTCTTGACATCACGATCAATTCTCTCAGTATCCTCTCTAGCCCGAGCTACACAGCAAAAGTGAAGTACATCTAAGTAAACAATAAACACGCCATATATGTATAAAAATCATTATAGAATATTTAAGCAAAAAGTGGTTAAAAAAAATCCTGCTCCTAATTCCCCCTTTAAGAGAAAAGCAAGAGTTAAAAGGAAATGAAGTTGCATGCATGTATAGAAATAAATTACAAGAGGTGATACCAAGATTAGCATGACATGATCATTAATATTATAATATTTCCCTATTGCCCTGTTGCTCCAAAAAATAATCATCTAAATGATACAAAACCATTTTATGTTTTAATTATATTGAATATTCTAGGTTTGTACACTTTGTTATCATTTAACATCTTTGCTCCTTTCTTTTGGCTCATGGTGCAAGGGAGTAGAGGGAAACAGATGAACATAAGAAACCTCGTGATAAGACACAATAGATTTACATGTGTATACCCCAACTATTACATCTAGCAAGATTAGTTCTGAATCAGATAAAAAAGTGATGCAAAGATAAACTAGAACAGCACATGTTTAGAACAAGGTAAATGAGCTAACCATCAAGCTTAAGAAATTCTGTCCCAAGAAAAGCAACATCTTGGCGCGCACGGGCTTCCAATTTCAATATGCTACTGAGGAAACAAATAGTTAACAGTTACTTCCATGAACCTAAAAACTATGGTATCTCTACTGAACAGTGAACATTCTTTTGTATAGGTGGCTTCAAAAACAACTAAAGAGAAGTGGCTTGATGAACAATTATGGAAGTACATCTCGAATAGAAACAGTACAATACCACAAGTCATAGGACAGTACCGGGAGAGCAAGACAATGTCGTGACGAGCCCTTTCATTTACAAACTTTGCATCATTACAAACAAATCTACAAGCTTCAGCCAGGCCCCGACCAGAATTACTGTAGTAATCTTTCTCTTCTTTAGTACGTACACTGCACATATTACAGAATCTCTGAAATCTGAGTTCGAACCATGGCATAAATTTTTGGAAAAAATAAGAAGCACCATTCATATCATGCAAAAGATAAAGGGCTGGGTCGACCAAGAAATAAAGTGACAACAGAGGTGGGCGGGCCAAAAAAAAAAAAAAAAGGTGACAACTGAGAGTCTGGGAAAGAAATCAAGGGTAAATGTTCACAAATGGTACACAGCATAAAAAGGTAACACAATATATGAAACGGAAGAAATGTTAAGTAAATAATCATTGTTCTTCTACCTTGTTAAATCTGAAACATCCATGTAAGTTGTAACGCATTCTTTCTCCTCAATATTATTTGATCCTGATGATTTGCACAAGAAAGATCTCTTGGAGATAAGGCTGACAGGATTTCTACACATGCACCCAAAAATCTCATTGGATAAGGTTGATCCCTCTACCAAGAGACATATATGATTCAGTTGTCCATGTTGGACTCCATATCTTGGAAGTTGTACCCTGTTGTTCCTTGTGGACATCAAGAAATTAAGTTTTTCATGTGACCTACAGCCAATTGTCCGATAAGTCACGATAGGACCATTTGAAACCTTGTTTGCAGCAAGTGCCATCAGGACTTCAAAATCAGAATCAGATAGGCCTTGCTTTCATAGCACTACAGACATCTCAAGCCTGTATTACAAGCAAGCAAATTAAAATTTAAAAAAAAAAAAGGAAAACACAGAGAGGGGAATAAACACTTAAGTCCACGATGAAATCAGGGATTTTGCAATAACACAAAATCTTTGATAAGAAAAGGCCCCCCCTTCCTTATGGGATTGGGACTAAGAAGAATGGTTGGGGAACCAAACATCCATATCATTCATACTTCGGATATCTCACTGAAGATTAATGAAGTGACTAATAGGTTCGACATTATGCTTGAAATTTTTATTAATAGTCACTGTAATTTATTTCAATATATTTTCTCCCTATGAATCTATCTCTCACCGAACTCTGAGAAAAGATAGACATCCCATTGTCACATGTAACTTATCAAAGACATAATTTTGTTAATCTGTATAAACCAAAGAGAAGTCAAAAGCATGCTAGACTTTCACACGTGAAAGCCAAGGCTTGCTCGAAACCAATTATTTGCGAAAAGAAAAATTGAAAGGGCCTAAGCCAGAATGAAAGAAACATTTCAATCGATTTGAAACTTCAGATGAAAAATTATAAACTCCCCGCTCATGTTACTTACTAATTACAACTTAGATCGTTATCAGTTTTAGATGCTACCGAAAATTCTTGTCTTAATGGAATCAGTTTAGGCAATAAAAGCCCTGTACTTATCCAAAAAACTTACTGAGCTAAATATCATGCATCGTTCTAAGTCCAAAAATGGAATGAGTCGACGGTCTAAGATTCCATCTCCCAGCCCGGTAAAAAGACTCAAATATCTTGCATTACACGACTTCAATCAAGAAAATGGCCTAATCTTTGATGTTTTCCCTCAACAGAATATATGGCATATAGAGGAATATCATCTCCAACCACTGAGGGACAATTTTCAAATCCACACTATATTTTGATAAGTAAAACCACTCAAACTTGAAAATACCCAGCTATCATAATCTCTCCGGCAACATTCTACATTCAAATTAGGCAGATAATCAAATTTTATTCCATCAGCATCGGGAGTGTCGTCTTCAATATGATTAACTGAGATTCAGTTGAGATGAAAGAAAACAGAACTGCACATCAATAATGAAAATAAAACCCCGTAAAAATACAAATAACAATACCCATTGAAGAAATAGAACGTCCAACTCCAAAACGCAGTCAAGAAAGCAAGAAAGATGGACGTTAGGAACTGACCTTCGGCGAACTCTCTGGAAGGGAAATGCCGAGATGTACGACGTACAGTATAAAGAGTGTGATGGGGGAGGAGGGGGCCCATAACGTTGGGGGAGAAATGAGAACCACAGCTGAACCTGTGGCTCGTCGAATGCCAACAACAAACAATCGCGGGGGATTTTTTTTTTAATTTCTTTCTCGGTCACAAGCATGAAGCATCATGGAATTTTACAAATTACCTGATCTCCCAAGCCACTAAAATTTGTTAACATCAGTTACAGTTAGACATCTTTATCTTTGTCAAGTTTACAAGTGAAGATTGAGACGAACAAATCGAATTAGATAAAACAGTGGAGTTTCTTACTTCTTTTCCTCAACTCAGGTCCTGTCAATTTTTTATTTTATGCAAAACTTAGAGGTAGCAATACAGGTAAGCTTAAAAGGATCAATCCTACAAGATCCAAATTTTAAAAATATTATAATTTGTTAGGTCCGATCTTTAAGCTAACGGGTTTAGGACTGATTCGCGGGTTTTCAGCCCTTTTAAGAAAAAATATTATTTTCATATTTCTCATGTTTTTTATCAAAAAAATAAAAATAAACCAATAAAATTATTAATAAAAGATATAAATATAAATAAATTTAAGTTACAAATATAAAACATCATCATATATAAATATCTATTAACATCCAAGAACATCTAAAACATTTATTAACAAAATAATAACATTCAAAAGTTTTATCTATAGTGTAAATATACAATAAACAAACACTATTATTAATCTTTTAAAACTTCATCATCATTATAAGTATAATTTTCTTTTGTAACAAAAATATCAAGTTTTTTTCTTTATAGAAATTTTACTTTTAAATTTTACAATCTAGTTATTATTTTACTTTAGTTTGAAAACATTGTTGTTGAAACTTATAAATTTCTAATGCAAATTATAAAATCACAAGTTATATAAGTATAAAAATACTCTGTTGTCAAATATTATAGTTTAAAAATATCAACATATATAATATAGGGGAAATTGCAAAAAAAGACCTTGGAATTGTAAAAACGCAAATAGGACCCTTGACAACTTCACTTTGGGTTTTGACAACTTTATTATTGTCAAAAGCTATAATGAAGTTGTCAAGGGTCCTATTTGCGTTTTTACAATTTCAAGGTCTTTTTTTTGCAATTTTCCCTATAATATATATCAAATCGTTATTAAAATCCAAATTAACCTATTGTTTAGAAATTTAACTAGACAAATTATTGTCTAAAACTAAATAAATCAAACCATTTTGTAAAATTTAATTTTAAAATGATAAAAATAACTAAATATTTAAAATATTATTAACAATGTAAAAATTTAATAATATTAGAATTATAAAAAAAATTATAAAAATATCTAAACGGGCTGGCCCTCTGTCCTACAAGGCTAGCCTGTTTAAACCCTTAGCCTTATAAGGCTAGCCCTATAGGGCTTGTGTTTTCATTTGAATGGAAAAATTTCAAATCCGATCCTCCTAATTTTTAAGCTTAAACGAGTCGACCAAACAGGCTCAATTCATTTTTTTAGCTAGCAAAAATGCACCTACGCATGTCAATATAAATATTTCAAAGTCAAATTTCAAATTGAGACCTTATCTAAACGTCTACAGGTAATGCTATCACAAAGGTAATGTAGTATTGACAGTCTCTGATCGATTTCTATGAGTTTCATAATAACACGGTTAAAAATTTTAGTCTAGGTTTAGAGCAAGTTGATTTTCATGTAATATTAATAATCTTAATATTTGAGTCACAAAAGACTCGTTTTGTTATATTAATTACATTGGATCTTATATTTACAACCAAAAAAATACTTTGTTTTGATTAAATTTGTCAAGTTTTGTTGGCTTTTTTTCAGTAGGTACATGTATCTTCTATTAGAGGTAATCCTATTTAAAATACTGTCAGGTACTAAATATGAGTATATTTCTCATTAGAGATTCAAACTTCTATCTACCAAATTATAAAAAATTAACCCTTTTTACTAGATTCAATGCATAGATATCTTTTTATTAGAGATAATCATGTTTGATAGATTATTGGATACTATGTAGACATATTTTGTAGCAAAAATTTGAATATTAATTTACTGTGAGGATTAATTCTTTTTGTTAAAGCTTTGGTGTTAAAAACCCTGAGGGGTTAGGTCAGCTGGTGGGACTGTCCTAGCTTAACCACAGGTCTCGAGTTCGAGCTGTGGGAATGCAGCACCCTGAGGGGCCAGAGGGCGCCGACCGAAAGGTTCTTTGCAAGCCCTCGATCTGGATTAGTCTGGGGACGTTGTCACGGCTGAAAAACGCCCATTTTTCTGGAATACCGGAGGAGAAATCCAACAAAAAAAAAGCTTTGGTGTTAAATAGCTGAAACGGCATTTTTTAGGCATAAGAAGGCCCGAAAGAGAGGCTTTTCTTGGGGGGAGCGGGGGTGGTTTTGGGGTGCGGCAAAGGCTATGTTTGGATCTTCGTTGGAGATGAAAAAAAGCATATAAGAAAGTGTGCAACTGACTTATGTTGCCTTGCTATTCGGGATGGATATAAAATCTCTGCCTTGCTAAACCCCTAAAGTTCCCCGCCTGTTGAGCAAGGAGCGAGCGAGCGAGCGAGCATGGCATCCAAGCAGAAGAGGAAAAGCAATGGTCTGTCTGACGTGAAAACCCTGGGGCTTCAGCTTCTGTCCACCCGTGCTCACATCAACAACCTCCCTCTTCTTCTTTCCTTTATTTCCCCTACTTCTCCTCCTAATTATGTCGTCGAATCCCTTCTTTCTCTCCAGTCTTTCTTTCTTCCCCTCCTCCCCGACCTTCCTTCATCTTCATCGTCCCCCCTTGACATATCGAGCCATGACCCCCAACTCATATACCGCGTTTGGATCCGTTCCAAATTCGATGACTTCATTAAGTCTCTTGTTCACGTTTTCGTGTCCCCACAATCCGACGAAACACTTAAGGTGAGTAGCTGAATATCATTTTTCTCATAAAGGAGAAGCTTTGTTTGTTATTTCTGATTTTTGCGTCGTTTTTTGAGTAACGTAACAGGAGGTCGTGTTAGATGCTATGATGGAATTTGTGAAGGTGGCAAATGGTGGGAAGTTTTCCTCTTCTCTATATCACAAGCTTCTGCATGGTATTGTAAGTCATTGATCTGCAGTATTGTAAGTTTTTCTTTTTCCCGCTTGCAACATTGGTGGCATTGTCTGATTGAATAGGATTTATTAATTTCAGGTTCACTCTTCTGATGAAGTCGTTTTTCCGGTGGAATTGCTCTCATCAAAGTATTTCGGATATATGGACGTCCGGTATAATTATGTTGCCGTGCTTTCCTTCTGGTTGAATATACATATGTAGTTCATATCTAATAAACAATTTAATTTATTGAAGAAAGGAGAGTATTGAATATTCTAAAAATTATGTTAAACCGTATGCATCAATTCATAATGGCTTTGAAGTGCATCAATTAGTTCATATAAAAAGTCCCAACCATTTACATTACATATGTTTTGTCTTTGTTGTACAGTCTGCACTGAATTACCGGAAGCAATTTGCTCTTTTTCATAATTTCAGATATTCCGTTGCATCTATTTGAATCTTCATTAATTCTGCCCATTAAATACATAACTGACGTCAATTAAAAGGTTGAGCTATTCTGCTGAATTAGGATTCTCCTTGATACAGTTACTTTACATATATAAGCCTGGGAAGGTTTGCTAGGACATTGGAAGGAAAAGTTATATCAGGTACTTTTATTGTCCTGCCTCTTTTAGTCCTCTCGGCATGTCATTCCTGCAAAGGGCCTTGCAAATCGTCTCTTTGTTGTTCTAACCTTATGAGATGGTCCCAGAGGAACGTTTCTAGTAGTCCTCTTTTATCATTTTCTCTTGAAATTATGAATGGTTTTCTTTTGCAATTTCTGCTATCTGACTAATCTCCATATGATAGCTTAGTTGTTTGTCATTGTCAGGTTTTAAACTTGCAAAAGAAGATGGTATCAATGAAAGTCCACTGAACCCAAGGTTAGTATGGCCTGTACCATTACTTTGTTTCTCCATACTTTTATCCCTTTCCATTCTTCTATCAATTGGTGCGGATTATCATGTAATTTGTCGTCAATTAACTTTGTGTGGGATGCTCTTTTTATTATTGTAATGCCATTTGAGTATGATTAGTTTGATTCTATTGCCTCGTTTCCTTCTAGAATCTTGGAGAATTGAGCTTCCTGACCATCTTGTATAAAATTGATTAAATTTCCTTGTCCCTTTAAAGCACAAATACTCACACGGACACATATATGCTAAAGTTAGAAAATACAGAAGATGACACGACATTTAGTTTTTTAAAGCTCTCTGTGAGGGATATACTTCTAGAGGAAAACACAACTGTCATTATTAAACCCCCCCTCCCCCAAAAAAAAGAAACCCAAAAAGGGATATTATCTGATTATTTTTTCACAAAATTTATTATGAAGTCTTCGGTATGACATTGTATAAAATAATTTATCATGTAAGATAATACTGTCTAAGGTTGATGTATTGTGTAATGCCAAGTAGAATAGAAAAACTCACTTCTTCTTTTGCTGACAAAAGCATCCTTTACTAAGATGTATGCTGTATTTGTCCAAACAGTTCTATCATTTAAAGAAAAGTTAAAGAAGTTAGAGCAAAATAATTGATCATGGTACGCCCAAAAGGAGCCTGGTAGGCACCTGGGGTAGCATGGTGCCTTGCTTGCTTTCAAACCAAGCTTCTCCATCTAAGCTTGGTGGCATGTGCCTTGGTTGAGCCAGTGCTTACTCATTGCCTGTCCATGAAATTTTGCATCTTAATTATAATAATGATGCATG